TGTACCCCAAGAGTTTCCTCCCCAGAGGAAATGGTTTCACCCTCTTGGTCTGTTTTGGCCATAGTGTTCAGCTGGGCCTCCTGACAGTTCAGTGCCCTTCTGCAGGTTTACTGATATCCAATTGTAGGCCCTTCCCCAGTGGCCTATGGGGGAGAATCCAGGCCCACCCAGAGACCCTAAGAATAGCAGCTGCATGCTGCCATGTCCCTTTAGCAAAATCAGCTTCAGGTCCCTGGGCCACTTCTCCTCAACCCCAGCCTTCACCAATGCCTTACTCTTAGCTCAGGGCTCTTCCAAGCTCAGGCCCAGCAGCCAGCTTTTTCTTGCTACACCAGTCCCTACTAGCACTAAGCTCACCAGTCTCCTGCAGTTCCCTTTAGCCAGCCACAAGCACCATCTTCACTCTTCTGACTCCAGCAAGGAACTGCCTATTGCTGGCTCTGTGTTCCTTTTTATAGGGCCCTCCTGGCCCTGATTGGCTGCTCCCTGCAGCCTCTATGATTGGCTGCTTCCCCTGCAGTTACTCTAGCCCGCTTAGAGGACCTCTCCACTGCTCCTTTCCTGAGACAAGTGTGGCAGGACCTTGAGGCCTTCAGCAGGGGGCCTCTGGGCCTAGCCCACCCTATCACAGCCCCCTTCTTATCCTACATGAACCCCTTCAGGGCAAGTGTGGGGTGAACAAGCCATCACAGGTGGTAGATAATGAAGAGGATACATCACTAATACAGAGCTATCTGGATCACTTGGTAAGTTGAGTGCAAACAAACAATATGCATTTTAATTCAGCTAAATGTACATGTATCCATCTAGGAACACAGAACACAGGCCGTATTTACAGGATGGGGAAGCAGTGACTCTGAAAAAGACTTCATAGAATGAAGATTAGGGTTGGAAGAGACCTCTGGAGACCCCCTGCTTAAAGCAGGACCAACACCAACTAAATCATCCCTGCCAGGCCTTTGTCAAACCGGGCCTTAAAAACCTCTAAGGATGGAGATTCCATCACCTCCCTAGGTAACCCATTCCAGTGCTTCACCACCCTCCTAGTGAAATAGTGTTTCCTAATATCCCACCTAGACCTCCCCCACGGCAACTGGAGACCATTGCTCCTTGTTCTGTCATCTGCCACCACTGAGAACAGCTGAGCTCCATCCTCTTTGGAACGCCCCTTCAGGGAGTTGAAGGTTGCTATCAAATCCTGACCCCCGACTCTTCTCTTCTGCAGACTAAATAACCCCAGTTCCTTCAGACTCTCCTCGTAAGTCATGCGTCCCAGGCCCCTAATCATTTTCGTTGCCCTCCAATTTGTCCCTCCAATTTGTCCCTCCAATTTGTCCACATCCTTTCTGTAGTGGGGGGGGGGGGGGGGCCCAAAACTGGATGCAGTACTCCAGATGTGGCCTCACCAGCGGCAAATAGAGGGGAATAATCACGTCCCTCAATCTGCTGGCAATGCTCCTACTAATGCAGCCCAATATGTCGTTAGTCTTCCTGGCGACAAGGGCACACTGTTGACTCATATCCAGCTTCTCATCCACTGTAATCCCCAGGTCCTTTTCTGTGAACTGCTGCTTAGCCAGTCAGTCCTCAGCCTGTAGCGGTGCATGGGATTCTTCCGTCCTAAGTGCAGGACTCTGCACTTGTCCTTGCTGAACCTCATCAGATTTCTTTTGGGCCAATCCTCCAAATTCTCTAGGTCACTCTGGACCCTATCCCTACCCTCCAGTGTATCTATCTCTACCCCAGCCTCATGTCATCTGCGAACTTGCTGAGGGTGCAATTCATCCCATCCTCCAGATCATTAATAAAGATGTTGAACAAAACCGGCCCCAGGACCGACCCATGGGGCACTCTGCTTGATACTGGTTGCCAACTAGACATTGAGCCATTGATCACTACCCGTTGAGACAGCTTTCTATCCACCTTATAGTCCATTCATCCAATCCATACTTTTTTAACTTGCTGGCAAGAATACTGTGGGGGACCCTATCAAAAGCTTTGCTAAAGTCAAGATATATCACATCCACTGCTTTCCCCATATCCACAGAGCCAGTTATCGCGTCATAGAAAGCTATCAGGTTGGTCAGGCATGACTTGCCCTTGGTGAATCCATGTTGACTGTTCCTGATCACCTTCCTTTCCTCCAAGTGCTTCAAAATGGATTCCTTGAGAACCTGCTCCATGATTTTTCCAGGGACTGAGGTGAGGCTGACCGGTCTGTAGTTCCCCAGGTTCTCCTTCCCTTTTTTAAAGATGGGCACTATATTTGCCTTTTTCCAATTGTCCGGGACCTCCCCCAATCGCCACATGACCTATCTTGGATAAAATACATCAGAATTATGCCATAATCATATTGTAATAATATCACTGTGAAGAATATGGGGTGCAGTGTCACAATGGGCATGTCAGACGGTATCAAAGTGCCAAATAAAGAGGTAAAATAACCTCTCTACACGTACTCAAGATTCCCATTTATGCATCCCAGGATCACATTATCCTTCTTGACCACAGTGTTGCACTAGGAGCTCATGTTCACCACCACTCCCACATCTTTTTCAGTCACTGCTTTCCAGCATAGAGTCCCCCCTCCGGTAAGTATGGCCTGCGTTCTTTGTTACTAGATGTGTACCTTTACATTTACCATATGAAAATGCATATTGTTTGCTTGCGCCCAGCTTATGAAGTGTTCCAGATTGCTCTGAACTAGTGCCCAGTCCTCTTCATTATGTACCACTCCCCCAATGTGTGTGTCATCTTCAAACTTCATCAGTGACAACTTCACGTTTTCTTCCAGGTCATTGATAAAAATGCTAAGAAACATTGAGCCAGAAACCTGTGAGACCCCACTAGAAACACTCACTCAATGATTCCCCATTTACAATTATATTTTGAGATCTATCAGTTAGCTGCTTTTTAATCTACTTAATGTGTGCCATGTTAATTTTATATCATTCTAGATTTAAATCAAAATGTGCTGTACCAAGTCAAAGACCTTAGAGATGTCTAAGTATATTACATCAACACTATTACCTGGATTTGTGCTGGAAATGGCCCAACTTGATTATCATACACATTGTAAGGAGAGTGATCACTTTAGATAAGCTATTACCAGCAGGAGAGTGGGGTAGGAGGAGGTATTTTTTCATGCTTTGTGTGTATAAAAAGATCTTCTACACTTTCCACAGTATGCATCCGATGAAGTGAGCTGTACCTCACGAAAGCTTATGCTCAGATAAATTGGTTAGTCTCTAAGGTGCCACAAGTACTCCTTTTCTTTTTGCGAATACAGACTAACACGGCTGTTACTCTGAAACCTACCATTACCTTTATGAATCACACTTGTAATTGCAACAAAACCGATACCAAGTTAGTTTGACAGGATCTATTTTCCATCAACCCATATTGACTGGCATCAATTACATTACCGTTGTTTAATTCTTCATTAATCAAATCCCGTATCAACTTCTCCCTTATCTACCCTGGGATCTATCTCAGAATGACAGGCCTATAATTACCTAAGTCATCTCTTTTACCGTTTTTAAATATTGTCACAACATTAGCTTTCTTCCAATCTTCTGGTATTTCCACACTGCTCCAGGACTTACTGAAAACCAACATTAAGGGTCCAGGAAGCTCCTCAGCTGGCTCTTTTAAAACTCTTGGATGCCAGTTACCTGGACCTGCTGATTTTAAAATGTCTAACTTTAGTAGTTGCTGTTTAACATCCTCCTGAGATACTAGTGGAATGGAAAGAGTGTTATCATATGATATGACTTCATTATCTGTTTTTATAGCTGGGTTTAGGGAAAGGCTAGAATTAGGGTGAAGGGCAGTTTTCAGATTAGATTTAAGGTTAGTTGTCTAAACTGAATGTATTTCCAATATAAAGTTCACAAAATTGTTTAGTTTATTATTTTAAATAGATGTTGCCTTAAATGGTGAGATTTAGCCACCATGTGCAGATAGCGCACACATACACCCACCATACTCTCTAACACACACCTAGTACACCTAACACGTACACAGTCCCACTAACACTCTCTCACTCCCACTTGACCAGTCCTGGCTTCCTGCCCTTTACATGATCCAGTTCTGATGCTGTCATGCAACTCCCATCTCTTCCCTGGATCTGCTGCTCCTCAGGGTGTGGCAGGGGTGGTGGCGGGGGCAATCAGATCCCCCTGGAGCTAACACTAAGCAATGAACAAGGCTTCACATCCAACCACCCTTGTCTATATTAGGGTGTGAAATGGGTCAGGGCCCACTGTGCCAAACCTAACCTATATCCTCGTGCCCATACCCTGAGGGGTTAGGGCTAGAGTTAGGGATGGGTTATAGTTACGGATATGATTTTGTCACAGTAAAATTAAACAAAATTCCTGGTGCAGTCACGGGAAAACTGTACAAAACCAGGGTCTGGTGACGGCGGGGCTGAAGCGGAGCCCCGCCGCCCAGGGCTGAAGCCCGAGAGGGGCTGAAGCTGACGGAAGAAGTCACAGAGATCTGCGACCAGGTCAGCTCCTTAGCTGGGGTTCGGCCTCGGAGGGGCGTTCGAAGGGGGTTCGGATCAGGGTGCGGGCCCGGGCCAGGTGCAGGTTTAAGGCGAGAGCTCGTTCTGGGTTAGCCGGATAAACGAATGGGTTTCCCACAGGAAAAGTCCCAAACCTTCCAGTTGATTAAACAGATTTTTGGGTGGAATGGCCAGATCTGGCCACCGTTTGGTGAGAGCACCCTCACCCCCCAGGCCGCCCACCCACGGACACCCGCCCGGCACACCCACTAGTGCCCGCGTGTGCACAACGCACAGCCCCGGGCACACGCGGACATTGCCCCACAACTCCCCCGCGCCCCCAGTCCTGCCTCCCGGCCCGCTCCGGGGTGCAGTCCAGACGCTGCCCCCCACCCGCCCGGCCCGAGCCCCCCCCGCCCCCGGGCCCGAGCGCAGGGCCACGGAGAGACGCCCCCGCCCCCGCCCCCGGGCCACGCGCGGTGCACGCTGGGACACCGAGGCATTGTCCTGTCCCGGCTCCCGGCCGCCGCGCGCGCGGTGCATTGTGGGGGAGGAGCCCCGGTGCCCGGGCCCCCGGGACGGGAGGGAGCTCGGCAGGTACCGGGGGCCGGGTCCGTTGCACCGGGAGCGTCGGGGGTTGGGGCCATGGCAAGGGGGCCGCGTCGGAGGGGGCGGGCCCATTGCCCAAAGGGGGGCCCGGGGAGCGTCGGGGAGGGGCCGGGCCCGTTGCCCGGAGGGGGGCCCGGGGAGCGTCGGGGGGGCGGGCCCGTTGCCCGGTGGGGAGCGTCGGGGGGCGGGCCCGTTGCCCGGTGGGGGGCTGGTCCCATTGCCCGGAGCGGGGTATGGGGAGTGTCGGGAGGCTGGGACCCGGCAGCAGGAAGGGGCCAGGCAGGGCAGGCTGGTTCGGGGTGGACGGGAGGCTGCATTTCCCCCCTGCCCAGCTGACGCTGTCTTGTGTCCCCTCCAGCAGTGGCAGTGGCTCCCCACGCCCACCCTCTGCCCGCAGGGCCATGGGGGACCTGGGCCTGGGCCAGGAGTTCCACACGTGGCATCAGTTCAGCAGCTTCTTCGATGACTGGTGCGAGAAGCACAAGGTGTTATTCATCATCGCCAGCCTCAAGCCGCTGATCTCGCTGCGCCAGAACCCGCTGCACTACCAGCCCAGCCTGGCCGCCACCCTGCGCTTCCGCTTCGTCCGCCTCATCTGCAAGCACAGCGGCACCTACGTGGGCCAGAGCACCGTGCAACGCAACCGGCTGTGAGTGGGGCGCCTTAGGGCTCGCTGCGGCGCTGTGCCCCCCAACTAAGTCCATACTCTGCAGCAAATAGGTTCTGCTGGCAGATCTTGCCTGCCACTATCTTGACTCTGCTGCTACATGGCGCTCTGCTCTCCCCCAGTGCGGCTGGGGGCCTGTCATGTTCCCCGGGCTGTGGTGGTGGAGGGGGCCCTGCCTGGGCCTGGGGGAGCTGCCATTAGCCTTGCCAGGGGATTGCTGCGCATTACTGGGTTGCGTTTGGCCTCGCCAGTAGGTCTCCAGGCTGGGCCATGACCAGTGTTAATTGTGCTGGTGATGGGGCTCCCTGGCATGCCCGGGAGGCAGCAGTTTGCAGCCTGAGCCCATCTCCCTGGTTCTGTGCTCTGTGGCACCTGGCAACATCGCCCCATGGGGCCACGGCCCCTCTCCATTTAGTCCCCCCAGGTCAAGGGATGGGTTGGGCACAAGGTGCCAACGTGGGTAGCTTGCCGGAGTGACTTCCACTGCCCACATCATTGGCAACAGCGGGTGATGTCTATCTGCTTCAGGCTCACCCCTTCTGCCAGACCCTAGAGGCTGTCCCTCCCCCCTCTCGCCCCCACCCCCATATGGCTGTCCTATGCTGACCCCTCTGTTTCCCCTCCCCAGCAGCGAGAAGATCGACTGCCCGGCCTCCATCACCCTGCGACTGGGCCCCAAGAAGGACCGGCTGGTGGTGATTGAGGCCAGCCTGGAGCATAACCACAAGCTGTCAGAGGTGGAGTTTGCTCACTACTTCAAGCGTCACCAGCTGGAGGCCAGCATGGGGCTGCCCATCCGCATCACCAACAGCGTGTCCAAGCGGTTCCTGGCACCTGACCTGATCTGGAACCTGGAGGACTACAGCAAGGCCAAGGACAAGGGCATGTGCGAGCTGCTGAGCCAGCTGGATGGCCTCTTCAAGAGCGACCCGGGCGCCAAGGTCAAGCTGGTCTTCCAGGAGGACGTGGCCGTGCTCAACAGCATCTTCCTGGCCACATCGCACATGCGGGGGCTGGTGCAGCGCTTCCCCCGCTGCCTCTACATGGACAAGGCGGCCTGCATCAACAGCGAGTTCGAGCTCTACTCGGTGCTCTGCCAGGATGGCAACGGGCGGGGCCGCGAGTGCGCCTACTGTGTGGCCCGCCGGGGCGTGCCCGATCTGGTCATCTTCATCGTGGCCTCCCTGGTGCAGAGCGCGCCTGACATCAAGCTGAAGGTGAAGTGTCTGACTGTGGGGGCGGGCATCACGGATGTGGACGCGGTGGAGGAGGTGCTGCCTTGTGCTCGGGTGCAGATCTGCCGGCTGCAGGTGCTGGAGGCGCTGTACCGCAAGGCGCGTGAGCTGGCCGTGCCCAGGGAGGACAAGGTGCGCAACCTGCTGCACAACATGGCCAACGCCAGCTCGCCCCGCGTCTACAGCCAGTACCTGAGCGACCTGGAGGACGTGGCGCCGCTGCCCTTCCTGCAGTACTACCTGGAGCACTGGCACCATAACAAGGGCACGTGGGCCGAGTGCTGGGCCTTCGAGCGCAACTGCGACTGCCCGTTCCTGGAGCACATGAGCTTCCACCAGCAGAAGCTGCGCTCGGTGCTGAGCCCGCCCCTGGGGCTGGCGGCCTGCGTGCGGGGGCTGCTGGAGCTGCAGGCGCTGCGGGTGGAGATGGCGGCGCTCAATGAAGAGCGGGTGTCGGAGCTGTACCGGGCCGTGTGTCCGCCCGACAGTGCTGCGCTCATCGCTGAGGAGCTTGGCCTGGCCAAGCACGCCAACTACCACGTCAAGGAGGTGCCCGAGGGCTTCCTGCTGGATGGCGGCATCTGCTCCTTCCTGGTGAGCCGTGACCTGGCCGCCTGCTCCTGCTCCATATACGTCTCAAGCCGCCGGCCCTGCCGCCACCTTTTCGCCACCCGCCTCTGGACTGGGCAGCCCCTCTACGACCCCGGCTTGCTGCACGCCTCATCGGGAAGCGAGGGGCAGGACACCTAGCGCCAGAGGCGCAGCCCAGACTGGCACCTCCTAGCCCTGGGGCATGGCATGGCCCCACTCAGCTGCCTCCTAGTGCTGGGGGTGCTGCACAGACTGGCACCTTCTAGCACAGGGGTGCTGCACCCCCCGCCAGCCACTTCCTAGCCCCTGGGTGCCACGTGGACCGACAGCCTCCGAGCTGCTCCCACAGCACCGCTCTGGGGGTGGAGAGGAGGAGGTTCCTGTGGGCGGAGGAGAGAACTGTCTGCCCACAGGTCCAGGGTATGGGACTGGGGGGGACGTGTGGGAAGGGCAAGTCCCCACGGCACAAGGCTGGAGGAGCGAGGCCTCAGGACAGTGAGAAGGGACATGGGGGTGCCTGGGAGGGTCAGGGAATGGGGGGTGGGTCTGGTTGTGGACGTGACTCTTTATAAACTTCCCATCAATAAAATGCCTTTGGGAAAGCGCTGTCTGTGACACGGTCCAGCCAGGGGTGGGGTGGGGGCTCCCTGCCCTGTCCTCAGAGCCCCGCCCCTGCCCAGAGAAACAGACTCCTGGGAGAGAGAGGTTCCCTCTGCAGGGGCAGTGCACCTCAGCTGGGATTGACAGCGACACTGGCCAGGTTTGTGAAAGCTGTCGGGTTTGTTACTCAGCGGCACACAGCACAGGCCATCCTTGGCTCAGAACAGAGAGCTGGAGGTTAAAGCAGAGCCCATTCTGGTCAGCCCAGAGCTCAGCCGAGCTGTAGGGAACCCCATTGTTTCAGCTCTGTCTCCCCCCGTCTGACTGCCTTGGTCAGTTCCCAGGGGAGAGTCCCAATTCGTTCCAGCAGCCAGCCCTTGTCCCCCACCTCCCCAGTCTGTGCCCAGCTTCCCTCTGGGGCGTTGGGTGCTAGGTGTCCCTGTCCTGGGGACTGGGTTTGCCATTGTCTGCACGGACGATTGGCCTTTCAGTGACCCATCTTAGCTCAGGCAGCTGGATGCCTTCCTACCTATGTCTCTTAGGGCATGTCTACACTGCAGTTGGACACCCGCAACTGGCCTGTGCCAGCTGACTCCAGCTACGTGCCTGTTCAATTGTAGTTTAGGCTTCTGGGCTTGGGTGAGCTCTGGGCCCCTCCCACCCTGCAGGGTAATGCAGTTCAACAGCTGAGTCAGCTGGCAGGGGCCAGACGTGGGGGTGTCGTGTGGACATACTCTTAGGAGGCCCTGAGAGCAAACAATCCCCACCATAATGATGTGACAGAGAGAGGAAACTGAGGCCCATATTGTGGTCAAATATTACAGGACATTCCCACTTTGTCCCAGGGACTTCACCATGGCCCCCTGTCCAGCGAGAGGCCAGCCCCACATTCAGCCTGTGGTACCAGCGGGGGCAGCCTGACAGCCCTTCAGCATACCCCATGGATGAGCCCTGAGCTCTTGTCATTTCTTTGTCTTGGTCCCAGAATGTCCTGGGGCCTGCAGAGGGAGCAGGAGCAAGGAGTGGGAGCCCTCAGCTGGCCTCACGGGGGACCCTGGGAATATCAGCTCCTCTGCCTGAGGGAGGAGCTGGGTCCCAGTCAAGCAGGAAGGGCAGCAGGGGCGACCCTCCACCCCAGCCTGGTTGCCAGCCCCACCCGCACCCAGGCAAGGGCAGGTGGGTTCTGGTCATGGTATTGGCCTGCTCCCGTTGAGGGCAGCCCTTGAGGGTGGTGGTACCCAAGGGGAGAGCCCCTGCCCACAGGGCCTACTCCGTGTGTGGCCAGGGAACGAGAGGAGCCCCATTTGCCAGAAGGGGAATGGGATGGGAGCAGGTCATGGGGTCACTATCACTGTGACCTTGCACCCCTCTCATGCCCAAGATCTGCAAGTACCACTCAATCGTGACCCAAGCCCAACTGACCCAGTGCCTCCCACCCCACTAGATAACCACTCCCATTCCACAGCCAGCAATAGAACCGGGGGAGTCCTGGCTCTCCCCCCCCCCCGCCCCATAATTGACAGCAATGAGCGCAAGGCGATCATTGTGCTATAGGGACAATTGATAAAGGGGGACTAGTCACCCCTGGGGGGTGTCCCGCTGGGCTCTGGTCTCGACCCAGGGTTGGGCAATGGCTGTATTGTTGAGCTGGAAGGAAAGATAGGCCCATTGCTGGTGAAGCATACAGGTGAGACAGTGCGGGAGTGGTGAGTAACGCAGGGGACACACAGTACTGCAGGGTGAGCTGCATCGTTGGTACAGTGTGTGCATCCAAACAGCACGCACCTCAACATGGCCGGGGCAAGGGCACACATCTAGGAACCAAGAGGAGGGGTCGCGTGCCGGGTGTGGGGCTTGTGTCCTGGAGAGCAGGGATACTGCAAAGGATGGCAGGGTCCTATTGGAATTGAACTGCCCAAGGCTCCCAGTGTGGGCTGTGTCTAAGAGGGTGAGTGCATGGCTGGGCTGGATCAGCAGGGGGAGGGGATCATGTTAGTGAGACTGGTACTGGGTACAGTGTATATTCATAGTTTCACACAGTTTAAGGCCAAATGGGCTCATCTGTTCTAATCTGCATGGCCCAGGTGTTACACTGCACACAGATACCCCTGGACCGAGCCCAGGGACTTCAGTCAGATGAAAGCATTTCAGTCCTCAGGGCACTGATTTCTGTGTGTCAGGCAGAGAGGTGAGACCGAGGGCAATGGCAGGGAATTGATCAGGTGAGATCTGCCCAATGGATCCCAGCAGGTAACCCATGCCTCAGGCTGTAGAGGAGGGTGAAACCCCCCCAAAGCCCCTGCCAGTCTGACCTGGTGGGAAATTCCCATCTGATCCCAAATCCGGTGACCCACATATGAGAGCGAGATAGCACCCAGGCAGCTAGACAGAGGATGTCCTCATTGCAAACAAGACAGGGACGAGTGGGAAGGGGTTGGAGAAGAGCTACAAGAAGGGGGAGCTGGGAACCTGCCGGGCAGGCAGAGGCTGAAGGATCTCAGTGGATTCAGCATCTCCGTGCTGCTGGGTACCTGCCCGGGGAGGAGATTTCAGAGAGCAGGGGGCTCTGTGCTCCCCCAGCAAAGGCAAAGCCTGGCTGGAGCTGAAGCTGGATAATCCCAGACTATCAATAAGAGGCCAATGTTTACCAGGGAGAGGAACTGACAGAACAACTGGCCTGGAACATGGGAGATTCTGCATCCCGGGCAGTCAGTACATCAGGACCACATGTATTTGCTGTAGCCCTGTCAGAGGTCAGTAGGCAGGGCTCACTGGTCGGGTTTGCCCAACCTGGGTGATGCAGAGACTAGACTGGGCCCCTTCTGGCCTTATAGTCCATTAATTGAAGACACTCACAGGCTGTGTCTAACACCGCAGACTGTTACACAAGGCATACAACTGCTAAAGTCCACGCACGTTGCACGAGGCATACAACTGCTGAAGTCTGTATATTGCTCGGGCGGGTGCATACTTGGCTGCTTCTGTTGGTGCTCCAAATACCCCACAGGAGTGCTTGTGTCGCTGCATAGTGTGGTGCACCACGGGCAGGTATCCCACGGCCATGAGCTGCTGTCCGGCACAATGCCTTTTGGGAAATTTTCACAATCTATTGTGGGACAGGTATGACTTGCGCAGGGATCTGGGAACTAGGGGGTCAAGTTCCCAGCTTGCAACTTTCTCCATCCCATAATGCCATCCATATCCCATCATTTTCCTATCTTTTTTTAAAAATCCCCAAACCCTTTTGTCACTCTTCTGTCTGCCATCTGTGAGGGAAGCACGGAGCCTGCAGCGCTCTGCACTGTTCTCATGAACATTACAAACCCAGGATGTGCAGTTCTGTATGTGCAGACCGGCAGGAAGAGCCGCAATAATGGGGGACGTGAGATTTCTTCAAGGACACTTTGCTGAGGGACAGCAACAAACAGTTCAGGATTGTGTGTGGCATTCACAGCGGAGCACTGCTTCCAGGCCCGAGAAATGAGCACCGACTGGTGGCATCGCATTGTAATGCAGGTTGGGACCACGAGCAGTGGCTGCAGAACTTTCAGGTGGGAAAGGCCACGTTCCTGGATCTATGTGCTGAGCGTGCCCCAGCCCCCCCGTGCAGGGACACCAGAATGAGGGCTGCACTGACAATGGAGAAGTGTGTGGAGATCACGCTCTGGACTCTTGCAATGCTGGATTGCTGCCGGTCAGTGGGAATCATTCTGGAGTTGGAAAATCCACTATGGGGGGTGATGGGCCTCAGGGTCCTGCTGCACCCATCCCAGAAAAGGAGCAGTAGAGGAGTCCTCCAAGCAAGGTACCAATTTAAAGACTGCAGACACACCCAACCAGGAAGGAAGGTGGGCGCCACGTCATTACATGGGTCATTGTCATGCGGCGTGTAGGGCTGTTACTTGTCTCCTGCTGCACAGGACTGTGGCTCTCAGCAATGTGCGGGACATAGAGGATGGATTTACAGCAATGGGGTTCCCAAACTGCAGTGGGGTGATAGACAACATGTACATCCCTATTTTGGCACCAGCCCGCCTTGTCACAGGGGACATCAACAGAAAGGGCTTTTTTATGATTGTGCAAGTGTTGGGTGGATCATCAGTGTAGGCTGGTCAGGGAAGGAGCATGACGCACATGTCTTTAAGAACACAGGACAGTGCAGAAAGCTGCAAGCAGGGACTTTCTTTCCTGACTGGCAGATTACCGTTGGCGATCTTGAAATGCCAATAATGATCCTGAGGGACCAGCCTGTCGGAGAGAGAGAGAGCCTGAAGTTCTGGGCCAGGTATAAGATTTGAGGCCTGAACCAGAGACTGAGTCAAAGTTAGGCCCTGTGTTAAAGTAGCTGTTTACGAGTTTACTGTATGATCTTGGCAAAAATATCACTAGTGTTGCTAAAATACTAAGAAGCAACAGATACAAGGTATGTGTGAAAACACACTCCAGACGATTAGTCCAGGGCCATCCTGAGCTAACACCAGACCAGGATGTTTTGTCCCAGGAACCTGGAGCATGATACCAGGGGAGGTAAGAAGCAGATGTCCTGAACCAGGGAGAGTTGTTTGTCTCAGTCTATAAATACTGGGGTGCCTCGCTTTATCTCTTTGTGCGGCCTGTGGGAGAGCAGAAATTCCTCCAACTGACTGAATCGCTCCTTGCCACAGGGCACTCGCGTTAGCATGCCTGTAGCTCCTATGGGGTGCTAGGATTGTGCCTTGAGGGCACTAAACCTGGCCGAGTGCCTTTGTCAAAGAGCAGTGCCGGTAGTCATTCTTGAATAACACCGAGGTCTGTGGAATTAGCTAGGGGGAGTTTATGCTTGCATTGAGAACACTGGCTTTTTTACGGCAAAGACATGGAGCAGCTGTAACAACTCAAAGCAGCCCTGGACTGTGTCACCACAGCAACGACACTTCAGCCTTCCGCATTTGACAACACAGCCTAGCCCCGGCTCATAAAGCCGTACAGCGGCCGCATCGACAGCGCCAAGGAAGGGTTCAACTTTTTTCCGCTCAGCAGTTGCAGAATGACAGCTGAATGTGCTTTTGGTAGATAGGGCGCTGGCATTGTTTACTCAGTAAGTTGGATCTCCGTGCAAAAAATACCCCTGTGGCTCACAGCTGCCTGCTGTGTCCTGTGAGGTGAAGGGGGGAAAGCTGCCGGCAGGGTGAAGGGCAGAGCTGGGGTGGCTCTCTGCTGAGCTTGAACAGCCAGACACAAGGGCCAGTACAAGAGCCCAGCATGGAGCTGTGCAGTTGAGGGAGGCTTTGAAAGCACTGTAACGGTTAGCCACAGCAGCGTTCTGTGTGGAGTGTTTTCGGGCCTAGCGCTTTGAGTGCTGCTAGGACCTGCATCATGCTTGCTGGACTTATAGAGATGTGGCTAGGTGCCTTTCTGGAGTTGTGAACTCGGCGGCGCTTGCTGCATGTGCCCAAGTCCTGCTTGCTTTGAGGGCCATTCTGCAATAAGTGTCATGAACTAATAAAGAAAACTTGATTTTCCAAAATTAGAACTTTATCGAGTGGGTAAAAAACAGTGCAGAAAATCAATGGGCAAAGAAACCCGCAGGCCATGTTAGACCCATTTTTAACATAACTTAATGGGGTGAAAATGTAAAATTAGAAAGGAAGTAAACATTACTGTCCATTTGAGTGCACATATGCTGCCCGTTGTGGGTACGCATACAGCAGCTGGGGCAAGCCGTGGTTTTCCTCCCTGTCCCCCGGTGTGGCGTAGTAGGGGTAAGGATGCGGCCTGTGGTGTCCCATGATATGGTGAGGGGTGTGGGGAGCACTGACTGGAGGTCTCCAAGGACTGCAAAGGGTGGAGAGTCAGATTGTTGGATCTGCAGCGTTTGGTTTGTTACCTACCTGAGAAGTCCAATTATGTCCTGGTGCAGTTGCCTCTCCTTGTCTTGCTGGCACTCCTGGGCTGTTCTTCTGTCTGCTCTTTCCTTCTCCAGGCTGTCTGTCAAGTGGGCCATCCAGGGCCTTTATTCACAGTCCAAGGCAGCAGTGGCTGCAGGGTCTCAGTGAATGTGTCCTCGCTAGTCCTCTTCTTCCTTTGCCTCAAGGATGCAATGGCAGCAGCTATGATGAAAACAATCACCGTACCCCTGGATTTACAGTCACAAGGGAACTATATGTTTCCAACCTCCCTTCTCTTACTCCCATAAACCCTTTTAACAAGACATGCCTATCGACACTTGAGCTTTGGAGCGCCTCGGCACAGCACTGCTCTCCAGCCCCAGCCCTAGTGAGTATGGCCTGCTGGGGGGTGGGGGGAAGGATTTTCTCTGACATGATGATGTAAAATTTTGGTCCCTATTCCACAGGTATGAGTACAGGGCAATGGCACTGAATACTGGCACTGTTTTCCACAGGCGGTGGTGATCTTAGCTGATCTCTCACTCCTGAGGGTCACAAAGCACAGAGATCTCAGCTGCTGCTGGTGTCCTGAAGCCACCCAGGCCCATATGCCAATAGCCTGTGTACTGCGATGGTGCCAGTCGAACGCATTGCAGAGTGGCATGGGATAGTGTCCTACGGTGGGGGAAGAAACAAGGCAGCCCTCTCTAGAAACCTTTCGGAGAGGATTGCAGAGAATCTGCATGAACCTTTCCTGGAGATCTCTCAGGAGGATCCCAGGGTCATAAAGCGTTCCTCATGACCCCGCCTACAACCCAACAGGAGAATGAAAAGCAGATGCCAGCCCAACCTCTGTTTGTTGCACCACTACCTCTTCTCGTGAGAGTCAAACAAGGAAACATCAATACATGTGTCAGGTTAACTTGGGGAAGGGCCGGGCACCATCTTTAAACTTAAACACTGTAAGGGAAAATGCATGCATGTGCTTCCCTGCGTTCCCCTCCCCTCATCCGTGCTTGACTGGCGGGACTGGCTAGACTGTGGTCCTGGCTTGCAGCTTGGCTGGAGTCCTCTGGTGCGTCTCCCCCTCCTCCTCACTCTTCTCTGTCTCGGGCTCCTCCAAAGTAACCCCAGCATGCTGGTGGGGTCTCCGCCATGGTTCCCTACAGAAGTGGCAGGTGGGCAGCACTAGATTGACAGTTGGCCTCCCTGGTCTTGTGGTATCCCTGGCGAAATTCCTTTGATTTCACATTGCACTGCTGCTGATCCCTGTCGTACCGCTGTGCAATCTGGGTGTAGATGTCCATGTTTCTGCAGCTGTTCTGTAGCTATGTATGCATAGTCTCTTCTCCCCACAGGCCCAGGAGATCCACTATTTCCTGTCTGCTCCAGGCAGGAGCGTGGAGCTGGTGTAATTCACCTCTGGCATGGCTTGTTGTGCACCTGTATGTAACAACGGTGAGCGGAGAAGTGTGCTTGCCAAGCTGGGCTGTCAGGAAAAGGCATTTCAAAACCGGAAGTGGGGAGATGGCTTCCGGTCTCTGTGAGCCCACGTCCTGGGCAGTGGAGTTCACAGTTATGAGCAGGGCAGTCACTGTCACAGGGAATTGGACATGGTGGGGCAGCTCCTAGAGGACTGCTGGGGTCAACAAGCGTCATGTAGCGTGTATGTTTGTACTGCATCAGCCTCAGCAGGTCTGCTCCATGCTGTTGGGGGACATGGGTTGGCTACTCACAGTAACGGGGCACACATGTCGGTGGGGGCCACACGTGCAAAAATGGGTTGACGCAAGGCATCTTCTGTCAGCCTAACTTTGTAGTGCAGACCAGGCCTCAGAGGGCACGTGCATTTCCTCACTCCACCCCAGCATTGTGTAGCCTCGGGGTGCCTTCCGTCCAGCCTCAGTGCCCGTATTCCCCCAACAAGGAGAGGTTGCAAGCCAGCCGATCTTTGCCCACAGGTGTTATGCTAGTCTCTAAATCCCAACTCTGTCTTTAGGCCTTTCCCATGGGTCCCTGGTGCTGCGCTCTCAGCATGGCCATACACTTGCTGTGTTGTCACGCCTTACGGCAGTGCCCAGATGGGAACGATACAGAGCTCCTGGTATGGGTCCTGCAACGGGACTGGGGGAACCAGCTTTCTACTCACTAGCCCTGCTCTCCCCTTGGCACTGGGCCAGTGTCACAACTGATCAGCCAGCCCAGTCCATAGATGCTGTCTGCTCTATGCAGGGATGACAATGCCAGGACACACACTGTTATCCCTCTGTGGTGCTGCATCCACACTAGAGTTGGCCTCTCTGTACCAGACAAGGAGGGTAAAAGCTCTACAGTCCGTGGGCAGAGGCTTCCAACTCCCTAGAGACCCTGCTGCAGCTTTTCCCACCCTGTCATTGCTCCCTAGAGGGTTAGGAGAACTTGTGGCACCTTAGAGACTAACCAATTCATTTGAGGATAAGCTTTCATGAGCTTAGTAACACCCATTGTTTCATGTTCTCTGTATATATAAAATCCCCCTACTGTATTTTCCACTGCATGCATCCGATGAAGTGGGCTGTAGCTCACGAAAGCTTATGCTCTAATAAATTGGTTAGTCTCTAAGGTGCCACAAGTCCTCCTTTTCTTTTTGCGGAAACAGACTAATACGACTGCTACTCTGAAACCTAGAGGGTTTGGAGGCTACACTGCATTGGGAGAGCTGGGGGAGGGCTACAGCATTGCATTGTGGGAACTGGGGCTGGATGGCAGCTTGTAGTGTATCCTGGAGACTGGCAGGGGGCGAGGGCTGCAGTGCATTGTGGGGAGTTTAAGGCTGCGGTGCATTGTGGGAAGCGGGGGCTGGGCGAGGGCTGCGGAGCGCTGTGGGGCGGGTTAGGGGGCTGGGTCTGCAGTTTGAGGGGAGGGCTGCGATGCATTGTGGGAAGCGGGGGCTGGGCGAGGGCTGCGGAGCGCTGTGGGGCGGGTTAGGGGGCTGGGTCGGCAGTGCAGGGGGGGACCCTTGAGGGGAGGGCCGCGGTGCATTGTGGGACGCTGGGGCTGGGCGAGGGCTGCGGAGCGCTGTGGGGCGGGTTAGGGGGCTGGGTCGGCAGCGCAGGGGGGACCCTTGAGGGGAGGGCCGCGGTGCATTGTGGGAAGCGGGGGCTGGGCGAGGGCTGCGGAGCATTGTGGGGCGGGTTAGGGGGCTGGGTCTGCAGTGAAGGGGGGACCCTTGAGGGGAGGGCCGCGGTGCATTGTGGGAAGCGGGGGCTGGGCGAGGGCTGCGGAGCATTGTGGGGCGGGTTAGGGGGCTGGGTCTGCAGTGAAGGGGGGACCCTTGAGGGGAGGGCCGCGGTGCATTGTGGGAAGCGGGGGCTGGGCGAGGGCTGCGGAGCATTGTGGGGCGGGTTAGGGGGCTGGGTCGGCAGCGCAGGGGGGGACCCTTGAGGGGAGGGCCGCGGTGCATTGTGGGAAGCGGGGCCTGGGCGAGGGCTGCAGTGCATTGTGGGGCGGGTTAGGGGGCTGGGTCTGCAGTGCAGGGGGGGACCCTTGAGGGGAGGGCTGCGGTGCATTGTGGGAAGCGGGGGCTGGGCGAGGGCTGCGGAGCGCTGTGGGGCGGGTTAGGGGGCTGGGTCGGCAGTGCAGGGGGTACCCTTGAGGGGAGGGCCGCGGTGCCTTGTGGGAAGCGGGGCCTGGGCGAGGGCTGCGGAGCACTGTGGGGCGGGTTAGGGGGCTGGGTCTGCAGTGCAGGGGGGACCCTTGAGGGGAGGGAGGGCCGCGGTGCATTGTGGGAAGCGGGGGCTGGGCGAGGGCTGCGGAGCATTGTGGGGCGGGTTAGGGGGCTGGGTCGGCAGCGCAGGGGGGACCCTTGAGGGGAGGGCCGCGGTGCATTGTGGGAAGCGGGGGCTGGGCGAGGGCTGCGGAGCATTGTGGGGCGGGTTAGGGGGCTGGGTCGGCAGCGCAGGGGGGGACCCTTGAGGGGAGGGCCGCGGTGCATTGTGGGAAGCGGGGGCTGGGCGAGGGCTGCGGAGCATTGTGGGGGCTGGGTGCTCTAGTCTCCGCTGTTGCTGCTTGTGGAGCATCCTGGTGCTGCCGGGCTGGTGAGCTGGGCGGGACCCGCAGCGGGCTGCAGCTCGGGGCTGGCCGGGGCGGGGGGCGGGTGCTCAGGGCTGGACCCACACAGGGCAGAAGCTGATGCTCGGGGCTGTCGGTGGGTCCCTCCTGGTCCGATCCCAGCTCCGTGCAGGGCTCGGGGTGGCAGGGCTGGGCAGAGGCGCTGGGGCTGGTTGCGGGGTTGGGAATCGATGGGGCTGGGCGAGCAGCTCGGGGAGTGCAGCACAAGGGGTGGACAGCTGGGAGCGGGTGTGTGATGGGGTGCGTGAGAGAGAGCTGGCTGAGGAGCTCGCTGGACCGTTCATGTTGATTTTTTAATACGTCCTGGAGCACTGGGATAATTCCAGAAGACTAGAAGAAAGCTGACGTTGTGCCAATATTTAAAAAGGGGGTAACCGGTGTAGGTATAGACCTGTCAGCCTGACATCAATTCCAGGCAAGATAATGGAGCAGCTGATACAGGACTTGATTAATAAAGAAATAAAGAAGGGTACTATAATGCCAATCATCATGAAAAATTAACTTGATTTTGGTGGATGAGATTACAAGTTTGGTTGATATAGGTAATAAAGTTGATGTAACAGACTTAGACTTCTGTAAGAGGTTTGACTTGGTACCACATGACATTGTGATTAAAAAACTAGAACAGTATAAAATGAACATGGTCCACATTGAATGGATTAAAAACTGCTTGATAGGGCTCAAAGTGTAATTGTAAACGGGGAATGGTCATTGGTTGGGTATGATTCCAGTATGTGCCGCAGGGACCAGTTCTAGGACCTTTGCTGTTTAACATAAAATATCACTCATAAAGTTTGAAGTTGTTACAAAAATTGGGGGAGTAGCAAATAATGAAGAGGACAGGTCACTGATACGGAGTGATCTGGTTCGCTTGGTAAACTGGGCACAAGCAAACAATGTGCATTTTAATACAGCTAAATGTAAATGTATACATCTAGCGACAAAGAATGCAGGTCATATTTACATGGTGAACTCTCCAGGGAAGCAGTGACTCTGAAAAAGATTTGGGGATCATGATGGACAGTCAGGTGAATATGAGCTCCCAGTGTGACACTGTAGTTAAAAGAGCTAATGCAATCCTGGGATGCATAAATGGGAGTCTTGAGTAGGAGTAGAGTATTTTACCCCTATATTTTGCACTGGTGTCTAGTTCTGGTGTCCACCATTCAAGAAGGATATTGATCAATTGCGGTGGGTTCAGAGAAGAGCCACAAGAATGATTAAAAGATTGGATAACCTGCCTTATAGTGGGAGACTCAGGGAGCTCAATCTGTTTAGTGTAACAAAGAAGAGGTTAAGGGGGGATGATCACAGACTATGAGTACCTAGATGGGGAACAAATAGCTGATAATGGGCTCTTCAGTCTAGCAGAGGGAGGTCTAACACGATCCAATGGGTGGAAGTTGAAGCTAGACAAATTCAGACCGGAAATAAGGTGTACATTTTAACTGAGAGTAATGAATCATTGGAAGACTTTCCCAAGGGTCATGGTGGATTCTCCATCACTGGCCATTTTTGACTCAAGAGTGGATGTTTTTGTAATAGATCTGCTCTAGGAATTATTTTGGGGAAGGTCTCTGGCCTGTGCTATACAGGAGGTCAGAGTAGATGAACACAGTGGTCCCTTCTGGATTTGGAATCTATGGTGTGGGGAAGGGACTGTGTGTGTGACACACTAAGGGCTCTGTGTGTGATACAGGGTGTGTGTGACATGGGGATTTGACACTAAAAGGGGGCTGAATTTGTGTGACGGGAGCATACGATTGGGACCCCAGGGTATATGTATATGACTCAGGGTGTATGACAAGGTGCGTGACACAGTGGAGGCTGTGGCTGTGAAACATGAGGGGTGTATGACATGGGAGTGTGACACACAATGGGGCAGTGTGATTGTGACATGGGGGGGATGGGAAGTTCATTACGATGTGCAGTGGCTGTAGGGTACCTGAGAGCACTGTGCCACAGAAACTTCACCCAAGCGGGGAAATGGCGGCCCCTGGCCGATACAGCCTGTGAAATTTGCCAGAGCTGCTAGTCTGTCTGTGGAATCTCATGGGGTGGGGTTAGTTCCAGAAAACCTGAGATGCCACCAGCACAGAACTCAGCCTATGGAAACAATGACAGGTGCCACCTGCCTTTCTATATAACACAGCCCGAGAGTTCAGCTAGTCACCCTCCTCTGCTGGGCCCAATAACTTGTATCTGACTAAAGCAGCTTCCAGAAGAGCATTCAGCCTGGACCTGAATCCAGCGAGCGATGGGGATGCACCCGCAACAATTATTCAACATCCTTTATAAACATGGACACCAGAACAGCATGCAGAAATCCAAGGCCTGCCCCACCAATGCCGTACCCAGAGGGAAAACTGCCTCCTACCTCCCTATCCAGCCAAAGGTCACCTTTGCCCTTGTTGCCACAGCATTGCCTTAGGAGCCCCTGTTGAGGTGTTTGTCCCCTATGAGCCCTAAATCCCTTTCCGGGTCCCTGCTTTCTAGGGGCCAGCCCCTGTGCGGTCAGTGTGACCTGCATCCCTTGTTCCTAGACGCATGACCTCACATCAAGCTGCATTAAACACACTCTGTTTGAATGGGCCCAGCTGACCAAGCTGTGCAGTTTGCCTGGTCTGGCTGCCCTGGCCTTGTTGCTGATTACTGCTCACTGGTCTGTGTGTCAGCCGTCAGTGCTCTTCTCAGCTGGGAGTTTGTATTTCCTGCCTGATCGCTGATGAAAATGCAGACTAGCATCAGGCCGGGAGCTGGTCCCTGCAGAGCCCACTTGATGGGGGTCCCACGGATGACTGTGCTCGGAGAGCTGTCATGTAGCCAGCTGTTAATCTGCTGAACATGTGTGTTTGTGTATGTGAGAGAGAGAGAGACAGACGATGGGCGTGTGTGATAACAGGCTGCTGGTGTGGGGTGCCCCACGGGCTGAGGGGTTTGTGAAGCTGCAGGGGAACATGATCTATACACAGTGGGGGTTCGATACATACCCCAGCTTCCTCCTGCCCCTCTCTCAGTGTCACACCAGAGCTGCCCTGAGGCTGAGGGATGCGGATACTGGGGAGTCACAGCAGTTACTGGGGGGCAGCGCTGGTTGGGCTGAACAGCAAGGACAGGTGCCCAGAGGATGTGGACTGGGGGGCTGAGTCTGTGCAGCTGTGAGCCCCTTCCTGGTGCCCCTCTGCTCCGTCCCTGGTCAGGAGGCTGGCTGAGGGATGCCTGTTGTGCTGTGGGTCTCCAGCACTGAGCTCTGTACCCTGCCTGTCCCGGTGCTGACCCCAGCTGTCCCCAGCAGGCCCAGCCACCCCGCGGGATGGAGGAGGACGAGCTGCAGGAGAAGGAGTTCTTCTCGTGGGAGGAGTTCAGCGCCTTCTTCGACGCTTGGTGCGAGCGCAGGAAGGTCCTGTTCTTTGTGAAGAACTCGGTGCCGCTCAGCAAGTGCAAGTGGGCAACGGCGCCCCCACGGCCCGACGTGGTGGAGGCCCTCAAGTACAGCTCCGTGCGCCTGGTCTGCAAGGACTTTCGTGGCTCCAGCAAGCCCGACCAGGGGTGAGGACCCACTGTGGGCGGGCCATGGGGGGTGGGCAGTTCGGCAGAGGGGCAGCACACGCAGAAGGGCTGGGGGAGGCACAGGGACACAGCTGGGCAGGACGGTTCAGCGCCAAACTGGGCATGTACTATCTCTCCCGTGGGGCTCCTGTGCATTGTGGTGTCCACCAGAGCCCACCTGCAAAGCAGAGTCTAACTGGGCCAGGGCTTGGAGCCCATATCCTTGCTGTGTGGGTCTCAGTAGGGAGCACTCTCCCCTGACAGTAAGTGCTGGCCCCGAAGCCCGGGCCGGCGCTAGGGGGTCTGTGCTGAAGGGAGCTGAGTGGCTGATCTAGATGTAAAATTGTAGTCTTCCTCGCTTGTAGTTAAAACAATCCCATGGAGACTTCCCTTAAGAGCTGGGGTGAGAACCCAGGTATCCTGTTGAAACACTAAGATGGCTACAACCCCCATTTCTGTTCTCTGTCTGACTCCCCTTCCTGATCTCCACTGTTGTGCATTGGTTCTGTGTGACTTTTAAACAGCCCTCATGTCCCACCCCAGAGGCAGTTGCATCACAGTACCGGGCAAGGAATCCCTGTATAAAAACCCTCCACACCCCAGGCACGGGATCCCTCTCTAGCCTTTTCCTATGTCCCATTGGGGCTGAGAGGTGCATGGCTGCTGTCAGTGCATGTTACCCTAGGCAGGAGCGCGGTCTGATGTGGGTGAGGCTGTGATGGGACAAAGCTTACATCCCTCAGCATTGCCAAACTGGCTCAGCCCCAGGCTGCCTAGCTCCATATCCGAGGGTGGCGAATCCCCGCAGTGGGGAGTGCTGGCATAGCCTGCCCCAGGGAATTCCCCCCGGCTCCTGTCAATCTGTGACTGGCTGGGAGGTGGGTCATCTCCCTGCCCCATTTAATCCCGACTAATAATTAACAACCGTCCCCAGCTCTTATCTAGTCCTTTCCCTTGTAGAGCTCACAGCGCTTTACCCACTGTACAGAGGGGAAACTGAGGCACAGAGAAGGGACAGGACTTGCCCAAGGGCATACACCAGGCAGAGCTGAGAACAGAACCCAGCTCTTCTGTGGCCTAGTGCAGAGCTCTATCCAGTAGGCCACACTGCCTCAGTAATGCTGGGTGTTCTTGTTATCCAGACAAAGGCGCAGCTCCATTTTGAGCCCTGCTCGGCCCTGGCCCCACACTTCCTTGTGGTAGTGAGTTCCCCAGGCCTATAGCACTGTGAGGGAAGGATTTCTGCCTGTCTCATTGCCCATGTCCTGGTTCCTGCCTCATGAGAGAGGGGAGCAGAGGTACCTGTTTCCTGTCTCTGTCCCAATCGATGCTGTAGGTCCCTCTGTCCCATCCTTTCCCTGCAGTAACCTGCTTGGGCTCTTCAGCCCCCCAGTTGGGAGCCCCGCCCGCACAATATCTGAGCTCCAGCTGGCATGGCTCTGGGGTCTCCCCAGGAGACCTGCAGTGGAGTGCCCTCACCCCAGGGCAGTGAGCCGGTGAGCCAGGCCCCTACTACTAGAGCTAATGGAGGCTCCATGCACACAGGTATATGCTGGCCAGGCCCCCTTGCAGCCCTGCACTGGTACCCGCCAGGCATGGGGTGAGCATAGGCCCCGCTCTGCCAGCTCCCACAGCTGCCTCCTGGCCCATGGGTGAGGCGTGTGCTGGGGTCCCAGCGTGCTCAGCCTCTCTCTCTGCCCACAGGGGGCAGCAGAAGGGCTGCTGCGCCAGCATTGTGCTGAAGATGAGCCCCAAGAAGGACCGGCTGATCGTCACCGAGTGCCAGCTGGCCCACAACCATGCCTTGTGCCCCATCGAGTTTGCCTACTACTTCAAGAAGGGCTACCTGATGGCCAACTCGTGCCTGCCGGTGCGCACCACCAACAAGATCTCCAAGCAGTTTGTGGGGGGGCCGGACGTGCGGCGCCTGCTCTCCTACTGTAAGAGCCGTGACCATGGGGTGCTGGACGTGCTGACAGTGCTGGACGGGCTCTTTGCCAGTGACCCCAGCGCCAAGGTCAAGCTGGTCTTCATGGAGGACAAGGTCATCGTCCAGACTATCTTCTTCCTGAGCTCGCGCATGATGGCGCTGAGCCGGCGCTTCCCGCTCATGCTGTTCTTCGACCGCATGGTGGGGCTGAACGAGGAGTTTGACCTGTATTCGGTGCTGTGCGTGGACGGGGCGGGGCGCGGCCGCGAGGTGGCCTACTGCCTGACGCAACGGGAGACGCCCGACCTGCTACGCTTCACGCTGGCCTCGCTGGTGCAGAGCGTGCCTGAGGTCAAGCTGCAGGTGCGGTGCATCACGCTGGGCGTGGAGATCGCCCACCTGGAGGCGGTGAAGGAGCTGCTGCCCAACGCCCGCGTGCAGATCTGTCGCTCCCAGGTGCTGGAGACGCTCTTTAGCAAGGCGCAGGAGCTGGGCGCCGCCGAAGACGAGCGCATCTGGCCCCTGCTCTGCCGGCTGGCTGCGGCCAAGTCGCCGGCCGCCTACCAGCAGGCAGTGCAGGAGATGAAGGCCATTCTTCCCCCGCGCTTTGTGCGCTACTTCCGGCGCCATTGGCAGCCGCGCAGCGAGATGTGGGTGCAGTTCTGGGCCTTTGAGACAGCCCGCAATGTCAACGCCTGCGAGCTGCTCAAGCAGCACCAGCGCCGGCTGCTGGCAGCCCTCAGCCCCTCGCCCACCGTAGCCCAGTGCATGCTGGACCTGCTGGCCATGCAGGTGGGCAGCGAGGCCCACGAGCTGGACGAGGGAGAGCTGGCCACGCACTACCGTGCCATCTGCAAGCCGGAGCCGGCTGGCCTGATCGAGGAGGAGCTGGGCTTTGCACGGCACGGCCGCTACCACTTCCAGGAGACAGCCGAGGGCTACCTGCTCCACGACGGCCTGTCTGAGTTCGCTATGGACCAGGCCCTGACGCGCTGCTCCTGCTCCATCTACACCTCCAGCCTGCTGCCCTGCCGCCACCTCTTCGCCACACGTCTGCGCACTGGGCTGGCGCTCTTCGACCCTGGCCTGCTACACAGGAACCGGGCAGCACTTCTGGGCGCATGCTAGGGCCGTGGGGCATGGACCCCAGCTGCTCCGGGTGCTTACTATGTAAGTTAGGGGGACAGACACTGGTGCAGGGCTGGCTGCACATCTGCAGCTCACACAGCAGGGGAGAAGCCAGCCCATTGCCATGATGGCGGTGCCCCGCGATGACGTCAGGATGGATGGGATACCTGGGTGCTGGTCCTGTTTGACTTGTTTTCACAAAAAAGAGAAAGTGGCGGGTGGTGCTGTCCTGTAGCTGAGAACACCTACAGCCAGTGCCGGGCAGGGACCGCAGTGGGTTGGGTGCCTATCATGGGCCTGATGCTGCTTTCCCATACCTCAGAGCACCTGCAGCCCAGGCCGGGTAGAGATCCCGAGGTGTCTGTGTACTCATGGTGGGCTGGGCACTGCTGGCCCATAGCTGAGAGCACCCTGATCCCGCTGGCAGAGGTGGGTGGGTGGATGTTGCCATGTGGGGTGTGACGCTTTGGGGTGTGTGCACTGGCAGAGGTGGGTGGGAGGATAGTGCCATGCATGGTGTGACACTTTGGGGTGTCTGCGCTGGCAGAGGTTGGTGGGTGGACAGTGCCACGTGGGGTGTGATGGTCTGGGGTGTCCGTGCTGGCAGTGGCGGGTGGGAGGATGGTGCCATGTGGGCTGTGATGCTCTGGACTGTCTGCCCTGGCAGTGGCAGGTGGACGGATGGTGCCATGCGGGCTGTGATGCTCTGGACTGTCTGCGCTGGCAGTGGCGGGCGGGCGGATGGTGCCATGTGGGGTGTGACGCTCGGGAGTGTCTACGCTGGCAGGGGCGGGCGGATGGTGCCACGTGGGGTGTGACACTTCAAGGGTGTCTGTGCTGGCAGTGGCAGGTGGAAGGATGGTGCCATGAGGGGTGTGACGCTCTGGGGTGTCTGTGCAGGCAGAGGTGCTTGGATGGATGATGCCATGCAGGGTTTGACACTTTAGGGGTGTCTGCGGTGGCAGAAGCGGGTGGGTGGATGATGCCATACGGGGTGTGATGCTCTGGGGTGTCTGCACTGGCAGACACGGGTGGGTGGATGATGCCATGTGGGATGTGACACTCTGGGGTGTCTGCTCTGACAGTGGCGGGTGGGCAGATGGTGCCATGTGGGGTGTGATGCTCTGGGGTGTCTGTGCTGCAGTGGCACGTGGGCGGATGATGCCATATGGGGTATGACGCTCAGGGTGTCTACGCTGGCAAGAGTGGATTGGTGGATGGTGCCATGCGGGGTGTGATGCTCTGGGGTGTCTGTGCTGTCAGAGGTGGGTCTGTGGATGATGCCAGGTAATGCTCTTTGTACAGAGAATACACTTTATTCAATAAACATATATTTTCCTTTTTGACCCTTCCTGGCTTACAGCTCCTCCCTCAATTCCCTTGTGCTCTGATGGCTCTGTGGTTTCCTTCAGGGCCCAGTCTGGGGCTGCCCATCTTGGTGCCCATTGCTGTGGTGCCAGGGCTCTGAGTCAACTGGTGCCATGCCCCCACCTCTCTCCAGCTGCTGGCTCTTGGCACGGGCTCAGCTTTCATTGCTTTAAAAAGTCTGTCTCTAGCAGCCTGGGTGTGTGGAAAAGATCCCAAAGTGCCCATAGCGTAACCAGTGCAGGGACATTTGCCTGGGCAGCTGGAGAGCTTGAACCCCCCTAGCTCAGCTAGGGGAGGTGTGACCTGCCCTGCTCAGCTCCAAGATGTGCTAACTCTGCTGCTCAGTGCCGATGCTGATTTCGATGTCAGCTCTGGCAACTGATTCATGCCATGGGACAGTGGCAGGGTCATGTCTGCGCCTTGTCCTGGCAGTGACAGAGGGCACTGCTCTGCCACCCCCAGGAAGAAGCCAGTAGAGTCCCTGGCACCTTCAGTGCCCACCAAGGGGCTGAGCCTGGAGAGCCACACAGTCCTGGACTGGACCTCTGCCCTGGGCAGCGTGTGCAGGTGGCTTGGCCTGGCGCTAGCCCTGGGCAGAGCGGGAGGGGAGCAGCCCTGTGACCCCGGCCCAGCACCGTGGCCAAGGCAGCACCATGGGGACTCCAGGAGCTGGGCAGATGGGCCATGCGGGGGGGAGGGGAGTGCAGGGACGCCATAGGGCACCATGGGGCAGTGCCCCGGGGGCGGGGGCAGGGGTAACAGAGCTAGGCCAGGCTGTAGATTGGGCAGGTGTGGGTAGGACAATGGCAGGAGTGAGGCTATATTTCCCAGCATGCCCCTGGGTATGTTTGGCGAGCCCCGAGCGTCAGATGCTACCAAGACTACATTTCCCAGCGGGCGTAGCGCGTTCGTTTTTGGGTTGCGCGCGCAGCGCACGTCGGCTGTTGTGACGTCAGGAGCTCGGTGGCTGTCGGAACGCGACGGGTTGGATTTTCCCCGCGAAAGGGCGCTGGGAGGCGCGAGCCCCGGGTTGGAATTGGGCGCGAGACCCGCAGGTAGCCGCGCGCGCGCCCTCCCGCGGCCAGTAGAGTGGGGACTGTTGAACATAGACCGTTGGGGGCCAAGGACCGCGCGCAGTCCCTGTGGGGCAGAAATGGCGGGAAAAGGGGCTGCTGCTCACCTGCCCCATCCCCTCTTCCAACGCCCCCTGCGCTTCTCTGCCAACTGCCCCTCCCCTTTCATCCACCTTCCCCTCCAGCCACCTGCCCCTTCCCAGCCGTGCACCCACACCTGGCCCTCAATCCAGCCACCTGCTCCCCCAGCCATCTAACTCCTCCACTGCCAGGCCAACTCCCAGTCTGGTCCAGGGAATCCAGTCCCTAGCCATGACCCTGGTACTTCCCAGGGGGCAGCTGCCCCCTCTGCTCTGTGCCCTGGACTCTGGCTTGGGGCTGAGCAGTGGGAACTGGGCTCAATGCCTAGGCAGATGGTTTCACTTTCCTGTCTGTGTTGCAGACTAATGCTTGCCCTGGTCTGCCCCAGGTTCAGTTCTTGGGTCAGCTTGGGGGCCTCTCACCTCTCTCCCCTTTTCTGCCTGCAGCTGGAGCCGCCATGGTGGAGGGGTGCTGAGTGATCCCTGGTGCTTGGCTCACAGGTCCCGGAGCAGCTGACCTGCCAGAAGGGCTTTGCATCTGCCTGGCCTGCAGTGACAGCTCCCCCCCACCGCCCATGATGCAGCGCCCCATCACGTGAGTAATGCCCCCCAGGGGCCTGGAGCCTCGGCACTCCCTTGCTGCCCCACTAGCGACAGGGGAGAGGTGAAGGAGCAGGGGATGGGGAGAGGCTGGTTGTTCCTTGCCAGCCCCGTACCCTCACCCCTCTATCCCTGTGGCAGCAGAACCCGCCTGTGCCATGGCTGTGTTTCCCTGCCCCTCCGCAATGTGTCTCAGCCCACTGGGGAAGGCACAGGCCCTGCCTGCACTGTTTGATGCATTGCCTTTCAGAGCTGAGGCTGGTCCCTGGGTCTCCTGGCCTGTCTCTCTTGCTGTTAGCCTGTGCTCAGTGCTGTGGGCACGAGTACCTGAGTGATTCAGAGTGTCTGCCTTGCAGGAGGGCCCTGCAGAGAGACTTACCGCCCCACAGAGCTCTGGCCACATGTGCTCCCTTCAAGGATATAACACGGCTTGCAGCTAAGTGAGGCACAGACAAGAGCTGCTTCATTGCATGTGTGGGATGATGCAGTGAGCCCACAGGTGGGGAAATGCAGCAGTTATTCTGGGTATTGCTGGAACACTCCAGGCCCTTCTGTTGGACCTCCATGCAGTTAGAGCGCCTGGGGCTGCCAATGCAGGGCTTTCTCTCATTGGACTGTAGCTTGTTGCCTGGATGACTAAATATATCAAGTGGCTGGTGGGAGCCTTGATGGGCTCCTATGCTGGGACAAAGGGATTTCCTTTCCTCAAGAGACTGTCTAGTCTGCCCATGCAGGGGTGTTAGTCAGGCATTTCTGTCTGTTGCTTTGGCCAGGTCATTTTTCCAGCCCATGAAGGCAGTGAAGGAGGAGGAGAAGATCAGACTGCCAGCAGAAGAGGACTCAGCCAGCCAGTGAGTTACTGCCGGGCTCCGTTATGCACCATGGGGGGCAGTTGGAGTGAGGTCTTGCTGGTGTTGGTTCCGGGGCCATCCTTTCTGATCCACAGCTTTGTTACAGGGTGTCAGAGGCAGCTGTGATACAGAGAAATGGCCTAAGCCTCTGTATGGACTCCCCAGTGAAATCCGCTGCCAAGAGGCCCCTGCGCCGGGTCTTGGAGAGCGACAGTGACGAGGAGGAGGCCGTGCTGACAGCCCAAGCAGAGGTGGATCCCATACAGGAAAAAAGCTCAGAGAAAGCCAGCAGCAAGGAGGTATCATTTGTGCACCACCCATCTCTCTCCTGGAATCCCCATGGGGCTAGCCTGGGATCCTGCATCCCCCCAGCACCAACTGGAGTGTAGGCTGCCCCATGGTGCCCTTCACTCGGCCTGCACCAGCCCAGTGCCTCCTCCGTGCCTTGCCTTAGTGCCCTTCACTCCAGCCAGGTTCTGGGCTCCCTCTTGTACGTGTCCCCTAATGCTAGTCCTGCAGTGTGTCCTGGGCAGAGTGCCTTCTGCTGGTGGGAGAGGTACATACAGTACAGTGTCCTCTGTGCTGCTACAGAGACCTGCCTGTGTGTGCCCCCTCCCTCCACTTGGAGCTCTCCTGAAGGTGGCTGTTTTGCCCCCATATCTCTCACAGGCCTCCTTGGAATCCCCGCCTAAATTTCTTCCAGAAGCCTGCTGGCCCCTCTCCTGGGGCTGAGTGCTGCTCCCACCCCACCTTGCCCAGTGCTAGTGTAAAGCCAGGTGGGCTGTGGTTTGTGCTCTGTCTCTGCCCTGCCTGTAGCACTCTTGGGGGGTTGTCTTTCAGGAGCCTATGCAAACTCCTCAGTCTGATCTTTCTGCGGATAGCCCCTCACCAAGCAGTAGCCACTCCGCTGGAGACAGCCCGGCCCTTTCTGACTCCCCTGCCATTGGCCGTGCTGGCATCCCCAGACGCAGGACGGGTAAGGACCCTGCCCGGATGTGATCATGCCCTCACTCTGTCCTTGGGCACTCTTTCCAAATGGCAGGCCTCTACCTGCACTCTCCCAGAATGGGCCTCCATGGTTCAGCCCACCTGCGCAGGTGTCTTAGGCCCCGTGCAATCAGGCAGAGTAAGAGTCGGTTATAGGTGGCTCCCTGGCTCTTTTCCCCAGGGCTCTCAGCCACACGAGACAGGCTGGACCCCATGGGCCTGTGGGACAGGACAAGTGAGCTGGTGCTGGGGCTCTGTCTCAGCCCCCAGCCTGACTCCCCGCCAGCAGGGAGCCTTGCCTGCATGCGCCCTAAATGGCCCATAGGACTTCCCATGTTACTGCCCTGAGCAGCCCCTCTTCTGTGTTTCCTGTCACAGTGCAGGGCAACTGTGCCTGTATTCCTCCTTGTGGTGCAGCAAGGGCACCAACTCTAGGCTCCCAGCTCTCCAGCCATTGCTTTTCTTGGACAGAGACATGCATCTCTCTCCCGCCTGACCAGTGTTTTTCTAGGCTGCAGATGATCCCTGCCTGCCCTGTGTTGTTCTCAGCAAATCAGTCTAACCAGTGTCTGTGTTTTGCTTGCTCTTCGAAGGGTATGAACAATGTAATTGCCAGCAGTTAATGTGTTGCGCTCTCCCTGGGCCATGCTTTGTTGAGCTCTCCTCATTAAATCCCATCCATGCTGCTTGTTTGCCTTTTCTCCCTTGGGCCCTGACAGAGACCTGCCCATGTGTGCGTTCACTGCTGGGGTCCTGGGCTCCAGGAGATGTTTCTCTGATTGATGCTCCTCTCCCTTCCTTTTGGCTTTCTGCTGGCTTGGGCTTCTGTCTTTCTGAACTCTTAAGTCTTGGGGAAGGTTGGAGCTGGTCGAACGGTGTAGAGCGAGATGCAGTGTCGGTGCCTCTCTGCAGTACAGCTGTATTATGGCTGCCACGTTCCTTCTGCCCACCAAGTCACTCAGGCCTCAGTGTTCACGAGAGGCCTGGTCTGGGGTGCCTAGCTGTGCCCCATTCTCAGAGGGGCTGAGCACCCAAACTCCACTGAAGTCAGCTGGAGAATTGAGGGTCAGACAGGGCACCTAAAGCCAGAGGGGCCTCTGGATGAGTTTGGCCTCATTGGGCGCTGTAGGTTACTATGCTGGCCTGGCATGCTCTCTGTAACCCAGTGCTGCTTCTGCTTCTGCACCGTGGCAATTGTGCACCTCTGGACTCTGCACCCCCTGTTTTTCCCACAACTTGTCCCAGTCCAAAGGCTCGGGGCTGGTCCCAGTAGTTTGAAGGAGGCTGACTCTAAACTCTGCTCTTCAGCTCGCAAGCAGATCCCCAAACGCAAAATAGAGCTGCCAACTAGCAGGGAGAACAACAGGGATGAGGAGCCAAGTGCCAAGAGAT